AGAATCAAATAGACACAACAAAAAAAGATAAAGTGGACATCACCACTGACCCCACAGAAATACAAATGACCATCAGAGAATACTACAAACACTTATCTGCAAATAAGTTAGAAAATCTAGAAGAAACAGATAAATTCCTGGACACATACATCCCCTCAAGACTGAACCAGGAAGTTGAGTCAGTGAGTAAACTAACAACGAGTTATAAAGTTGAGGGAGTAATAAATAATCTACCAAGCAAGAAAAGCCCAGGATCAGACAGATTTACAGCTGAATTCTACCAGAGATACAAAGAGAGCTGGTGACATTTCTTCCAAAACTATTCCAAACAACTAAAAAGGAGACTCCTCCCTAACTCATTTTATGAGGTCAGCATCATCCTAACACCAAACCCTAGCAAAGATCAAACAAAAAAGAAGCCTTCAGGCCAATAACCCTGATGCAAAAAGCCTCAATAAAATACTGGCAAACCAAATCCAGCAGCAAGTCAAAAAGCTTATCCACTACCACCAAGTCGGCTTCATCCCTGAGATGCCAGGCTGGTTCAACATACACAAATCAAAAAACATAATCCATCACATAAACAGAACTAAAGACAAAAACTACATTATTACCTCAATAGGCACAGAAAAGGCTTTTGATAAAATCCAATATCCCTTCATGTTAAAAACTCTCAATAAACTAGGTATTGAAGGAACACACCTCAGAATAACAAAAGCCATTTATGACAAACCCACAGTCAATATCATATTGAACAGGCAAAAGCTGAAAGCATTCCCCTTGAAGACTGGCACAAAACAAGGATGCCTTTTCTCACCACTCTCTTTTTTGTTGTTGTTGAAACAGAGTCTCACTCTGTCACCCAGGCTGGAGTGCAGTGGTGCAACCTCAGCTCACTGCAACCTCCGCCTCCTGGGTTCAAGTGATTCTTCCACCTCAGCCTCCCTAGAAGTTGGGATTAGAGGTGCATACCACCACATCTGGCTAATTTTTGTATTTTTGGTAGAGACAGGGTTTCACTATGTTGGCCAGGCTGGTCTCGAATTTCTGATCTGCCTGCTTTGGCCTCCTAAAGTGCTGGGACTATAAGTGTGAGCTACCAGCCCAACCACCATTTCTATTCAATGTAATATTAGAAGTTCTGGCCAGGCAATCAGGCAAGAGAAAGAAATAAAGGTATTTACATAAAAAGAAAGGAAGTCAAATTGTCTTGGTTTGCAGATGACATGATCCTATATCTAGAAAACCGCACACTCTCAGCCCAAAGGCTTCTTAAACTGATAAGTAAGTTTAGCAAAGTCTCAGGATACAAAATCAATGTGTAAAAATCACAAGCATTCTGATACACCAACAACAGACAAGCAGAGAGCCAAATGATGAATGAACTTCTGTTCATAACTGCTACAAAGACAATGAAATACCTGGGAACACAGTTAACAAGAAAAGTAAAGGACCTCTTCAGGGAGAACTACAAACCACTGCTCAAGGAAATCAGAGAGGACACAAACAAATGGAAAAATGTTTCATGTTCATGGATAGGAAGAATCAGTATCATGGAAATGGCCATAATGCCCAAAGTAATTTATATATTCAATGCTATTCCCATTAAACTACCATTTACATTTTTCACAGAATTAGAAGAAAAAAAAACTATTTTAAAAATTATATGGAATCAAAAAAGGGCCCATATAGCCAAGACAATTCTAAACAAAAAGAACATGAAGGCATCACATTACCCAACTTCAAACTATATTACAAGGGTAGAGTAACCAAAACAGCATGGTACTAGTACAAAAACAGACACACAGACCAATGGAACAGAACAGAGAATTTAGAAATAAGACCACACACCTACAACAATC